TGTCAAATATATGACTGGATGTTTCCTTCCAGTCCTTTCTCTGTGTGCGTCGGGGGTGGGGAGCTGTTGATAGCTAAGATCACGTGTCCCCTTTCTCAGAAACTCCACGCACCTGTACACACATGCCGTTCTATCGCTTTCCCGCCGACTCAAACTCAAGGCTCAGGTCCAGTGTTCCCCCCAATGAGACCATTCCATCACCCCTCCCCAAGGGAGCCCTGATCTGGCAAATGCCAGTTCACAGAGCAATAACATTTCCACCGCACTTCACAGTTTACAAAACTATTTCCTCCAACCCAATAGAGCCTCAAAACAACCCATGCAGGTAGGAGGTGTACACACATGCCGTTCTATCGCTTTCCCGCCGACTCAAACTCAAGGCTCAGGTCCAGTGTCCCCCCCATGAGACCGTCCCATCACCCCTCCCCAAGGGAGCCCTGATCTGGCAAATGCCAGTTCACAGAGCAATAACATTTCCACCGCACTTCACAGTTTACAAAACTTTATTTCCTCCAACCCAATAGAGCCTCAAAACAACCCATGCAGGTAGGAGAGCAAGTAGAGCTTGACCACCCCCGTTTAAAATTAGGCCACTAAGACCCAGAGTGGCCATGTGGCTGCCACAGTCATCCAGAAAGGTAGGTCCAGGTGTCGGGCCCCAAACAGCATAGCCCGTGCCACTACTTGGAATCAGAGAGGTTTTGCCTTAAGAATGAGAGAGGCCATATAAGGAGAAGACACCAAGAGTTTGACTCCGAGTCCAACCGCCTGGGTTTGAATCCCAGCTCTGCCACTTACTAGTTGTGTGAACTTGGGCAAGTGGCTTCACTTCTCTGGGCCTCAGTTTTCTCCTCTGTAAGATGGGGATGACAGCAGCTCCTGCCTCATTCCCTCGTCAGGACGATCCATACGACAGGCGTAAAACAGCACCGGGCACATATTAAACCCTCAGTAAACACTTGTTCTACATAAAAATGCACCTGGCCAGATGCACCTAGTGGGTGCACATCTCAGCCATGATCACCAAACCTCAGCGCCCTGAGCCGCCGGCCCACAGAGGTGAGTCACACTTTGCTCAGGGACGAGCATGCACCTGGCCAGATGCACCTAGTGGGTGCACATCTCAGCCATGATCACCAAACCTCAGCGACCTGAGCCGCCGGCCCACAGAGGTGAGTCACACTTTGCTCAGGGACGAGCCCCCAAAGCCAGCTGCAAAGACTTCTACAAGGCGGCCTCCGCTTGCACTCACACCCCATGCTCACTTTCTGTCATCTCATCAAGGACAGCAGGGCTCCCTGGTTTTCAGTCTGAAGCCCACCCCCACTTGAGTGACAGCCCTGACATCTGCAAACACTTCAAAGCAGCAAAGGGGAGAGGCCAGGGCAAAGGAACGTTTTGTAAAAGGAAGACCCCTTTGTACGTTCATGTTTCCCACCCGTAATAACACAGGCAAATAAAAATCAAGCCAAGCAACTGCAGATTGCAAAGAAGGCCTCCTCCAGATTCCCACGACACCTCGTCCTGACTTCTGTTAAGCGGCAGGTAAAGAGATCTTTCTACGATGCACATCTCAACGCACTGGCTCCCAGGCTAAAACCCTTCCCGGTTCTTTCCTCTCAATCAGGCCACCTCCCTCTTTCCAGACCCACCCCCATCAAGGTCCTCTAGCCACAACACACTGGTCCTCCTCACAAGTGTCCCCAGCACACAATGGCCAGAGCCGTACCCTTGCCTGAAACTTCTCCCTTCCCTGTGCAAACTCCCAGCTCCTCCATCAAGGCCCAGGCCCAAAGTCACCTTCTCCAAAAGCCTTCTCCCACCCTGGAGAAAGCCATGTTCAGTCCCCGCACTGGGGTCCACACCCTTGGGAGCCACACCCACTGCACGTGGAGTCACTTCTGTTCACTCCACATTGACAGGAGCATGTCATGGGCCAGGGTGAGCATCCGAAATGGTCCCCACCCGCCCTTGGGAACTTCAATGCTCCTCTGTTAAACAGGGCTACACCGTATCCACCTCAAACAGCTGCCCCAAACCCAACAAGGCAGAGGGAGTAGAGAGCCAGCCACGCTGTGCCTGGCACCTAGTAGGTGCTTGGCATGTAGTAGGCACTTGGACCACAGTGACTCCGGTTGTCTGCCTCTGAAACAAACTCTTGACTCAGCCAAGTGGAGCCTCCCATCTTTTGAGACCCACAATAGGTGTGATTAGAAGCCACCCTTGGGGAAGGGTCCTCCTGCAGGAGGCAGCCCACACCTGGGCACGGCACAGGGCCAGATGAGAAGGCTGGAGCAGGTCCGCCAGCCTCTCGCCATGGCTCGGCCCCCAGGAGCCCTCTCCCACCCCAGCCTTCACAAGTTCCAGTCCAAACAGGGCCCTGGATTAGAATTTCCCATTTGAAAAATCAATATTTAAAGCTCTGCGCCTGCCAAGTGAGGGGAAGGCCTTGCTTGTAAATATTTGTCTCTACTGGCAAAGCTGGGCTTCTTGCTCACTGCAGCTACCCCGCCTCACTCCTGGCCCTCTGCTTGCACAGCTCCCAGCCAACTGCACGGCAGGACACCCCTGGGGAGATGGGAGAGGACTATCTGGTGGCCACGTAGGGCTGCAATGAGGTAGGCCAGCCCTACATCCACACAGACCTGTGTGTAGAGCTGCCCCAGGCCCATGCATCTGTCCCTCAGGGCAGGGACAGAGACACCTCATTGTGAGGCTTCTCTGGACTCCAAAGCACATGAGGTGTCCCAGGGGGCACCCCGGGTTTTTTCCTTTCTTATTTTGGAAAAAAGCACAAAGACAAAACCTTAAGGATGTTTGTAAATCACTGCCTGCCATCGCCATTGTGTGGGACAGCGCTCTGCTGCCTGTACCAACAGCTGCCCGTACCAACAGCTGCCCACGGGAGAAGCCCACACCCAGTCCTCTGGGCCCCCCCAGAGACATGGAAGCTGGTGTGTCATCTCACCGGGGAAGCCATCTAGATGGCGGTGAGTGACTGAGCTGTCATGTACCAGCTGAATAACTACCCTGGCATGACCATTCTCGGGGAATCATTCATTCACTCACCCATTCAGCCATTCATTCATTCATTCACTCATTCAATTACTCACTGAACACCTACCTGTGCCAGGCACTGGGGCTAGACACACAAGTGGACAAAAACAAATGTGAGCAAAGTCCTTTTGGGAGGGGTCTTCTGGGTCAACAAATGCCACAAACAAATGGGAAGTCACAACCGAGTCAGGTGCTGGGGTAGGAGAGGTCCGAAGCAGGCAGGGACAGAGGGGCATGACCTGGTCTGAGAGGTGAAGGAAGGCTTCCCAGGGGACGTGAACAAGTAGACAAAGGCCAAGGCAGGGCGCGGGGCAGAGCAGGGTGGAAAGGCAGCCCGTGAAAGGGGCAGCCACGGCACCAGCAGGAGCTCGTGAACTGCTCAGCACGCCCTGGCAGGTGGGACCTACCCAGCCACTCGTTGAACTTCTTCACCTCGCTCGGGAGCCCTAGCTCAGTGAAGTCCCCAGCGTGGATCAGCACGTCACCATAGGGCATCTGGATGGGGTCCGTCCTCGAGTGGGTGTCAGAGACACAGACAAAGCGGGTATAGCCAGGTGGCTTAGGCGCGTCGTGAGGCACTGGATCCACCCTGCGGGGAGAGAAGACACTGTGGGTCGTGGTGGCCACAGAGCCATGAGCCTACAGGGTGCTGCAGCCCATGGCCCCATCAACTCAGATCAGACTCAGCAGAAAAGGGACCGGGCGTCCAGCCTTCCCGTCGGCCCACCTGGGTCTAAATCCTGACTCTACCACTCACTAGCCAGGCAAAACATTTCTGTTTCCTGAGCCTCAGTTTCCCCCTCTGTACCATGGGAACTTCAGAGGGCACTTGTGAGGGTTAAAGGAGATAACAAATGAGAGGACTGCCACAGTGTGGCCACTATGCCACATGCTACTCGAATGATCGCAACTCACCTGTTGCTTGAGCAAAGCAGCATTCCCCAACGTTGTTTCCATTATCACCCCTGAGGGCCTCTGCAGATGTCTCTTCCTGCTCACCCCCACTCGTGAAATTTTAACACCACAGATACGCTGTTTATCTGATTAGGTACGATATGTCCATCTACGCTTCAGACATGACAAGAGTAAGATTTTTCACCCCCAAGAACTAGTTTTCACCCTTTGGAGGGCGCTACTTCCCCTGTTGAGAATGCACGGACTAAAGTCCATGGTGCAGTCAAAAGAACTAACTCCTGAGCACCGCGCAGAGCCACGCAGCATGCGAGGAGAATGGCGTAGTAAAGGCAGAATTCCTGGGAACACGCGAAATGAACGATCTGGAAGACGGGTGGCAATTTTCAAAACTATGAGATACTCTGATCATTTTTAGACCAAGGGCCTCCCAGAGTTGTGCAAAGAAACACTCAGAAGACCACACTTCAATCCCAGCTCTGCCACTTGTCTCTAATGCGCAACCTTAAGCGAAATTCGTGGCCTTGGTTTGCATAAAGCAAAATGCAGCGACCTCACCAAGCAAAATACTCAGAAAACTAAAAATAGTGGCACATCGTAGGTTCCTGTTCCTCAGGAGCCGGCTGTGGCCCTCTTGATTTATAGACAAGGACGCTGAGAGCCAGCAGGCTGAGCAAGAGGCCCGGTGGACTGAGCCCCAGCGCCTGACTTCCAGCACTCTTCCCCCCACACACGGCCTCCCCAGCTGAACGAATTTGCCAGGCTCAAAACTCTTAAAAACAACGCAATGACATTTCAACAAGCAGCTCTCTCCAAATGAGTATGCCGCTCGAGGAGTTGTGTTTAAATCTAATTATGCGGCAAACCAGAAGCGGTACCATATCAGTTACATAAATACTTTTAAAGACATCTTTCTAATTATCCTTTTTTTTTTTTTCAGACAATATACTTCGAAGAAATTTAATTAACACCTTACAGGAGACGTGGGTTCAGCATGCTAATGTGCAGGGAGCATTAGCTCGATCCACTGCAGTCAGAGGCGCCAAGCCAGCCTGTCCCCCACCACGACGCTGTGATAGGCGGGGGCACCCTTGGCCCCTTTTGGGGGGTTGTTAAGCCAAGACAGAATCCCAGCAGATCGGAGCTGGGCTGGACTGGGAAGAAAAGGAAAATCCCCTGAGTGAGTCTAATGATAACCTACCAGGAAGATGCTGGGAGCTTTTCCTCTTTTCTGTCCATTCATTCATTCATTCACTCACTTGCTCATTCAATACAACACATCCTGAATGCCTACCATGTGCCAGCCCTGAGCTCAGTGGGGAACCACAGGGATGAACCAGGCCTGATTACTGCCCGCTAGGAGCCCACTGACTGATGGTAGAGACAGACTTGGCCAGACAGTGACAATACAGCCACCAGCTTTGATGGGGCAGCAGAGGGGCAGGGGGCCAGAGAAGACCCTAACCTGGCTGGGACCTCCTGGAAGTCTCCAACAGGAGGCAATGCCTGAGCTGGTCTGGAAGCTAAAATCTCCCTCCCAGTAATTCCCACCACTCCTCTGGGGCCCCTATCACCCCCCTCCCCCATGACAGTCTTGCAGGTAAGTGACTTCACCCGCACACCCTGCCCACCTCCTACACACCCCATTGGATCCAGGGCAGCCAATCACTACTGGGCTATTGACCTGGCACAGGAATACCAGTGAGCCAATCAAATTCATTCATTCATTCTCTCTCTCTCTGAGGTTTTGAAGATGCCACAAGGTGACAAAGACCAAGGCAAAGAGACAAAGAGAGACAAAGAAGGGAGAGACAGGGACTGCCATGCTACCCCCAGAGATGCCTGGGGATCACTACCCAGCGGAGGAGCCCCGAGCGGCCTCGGCTCCCTCCACCGCCAGCAGCAGCGCCAGCCCACCGTGCAGACTCAGAGGGCTCTCATCGGCTGGGCCTGCTGCTGCATCCACAGCGCTTTAATTAACTCGCTCTCATTTCCCTACGCCCTGAGGCTTCTGGAGCGCAGTGAAGATGCAAACCTAGCAATCCCCAGAGAAAGAAAGAAAGACTCTTCTTTCCCTGCACAGTCCTCCGGCTACTTGCTCAACCTTGAAATAATGACAATAATGATACAATGATGATTCCCACGATGGAGAGCCCGTTGTGTGCTAAACACTTGATGTGCGCTGCTCTCTTCGCACTCCTCCCCATCTTACAGGTGAGGAAACTGAGGCTCAGAAAAGGCCAACTCTCCCACGATCGCAGCTATGGAAGCCAGTGGAACTGAAATTCAAAGCAGGCTTTTGGTTCCAGAATTCACACCAGGCTGGACTATTTTTAGGACGTACTTCGTTTCATTCAATCTATGAGCAAATGCTTGTTGAGTGCCTCCTAAAGGCCGGGCACCTGCTGGGTGCGAGGGATACCCATGGAAGCTTCTGGCATGGGGCGCCCAGAAACCCTCCCTGTGTTCTGGAAGTGAGGAAAAGACCAAGAAGGGCAGAGATATGGAGAAGGAGCCGGGGTACAAGAGGGCATCTTTTGACCCCTAGATCAAGCTGTGCCTGAAGCGAGATCCAAACCTGAACTTCCTAGCTGATTACATGAGCCAGCAAATTCCTGTTCACCCTTCAGGCAATTTAAGTTGTGTTTCTGACACTTGCAATGACAAAACTCTGGCTAACACCTGAGTCACAACAGCCCTGTGGGCTAAACAACTAAGGCCTGGAAAAGTGGTCCCACGTCCAAGGTCCCAGCTAAAGAGCAGAATTTAAACCCAGGTCCTCATCTTTCCAACAGGAATTGTTTTTTGGGGTTTTTTTGTTTTTGTTTTTGTTTTTTGGTGGCTGGCTGATACAGAGACAACAGGAATTTAGGCATCTAACCTCAACATCTTCTTGTGACAAGAAAAAAACAAGCAAAATGCTTTTCTCCCAGTGGTGCAGGACAGAGAACACAGCCTCTGGTGCCCAGACCTAGGCTGGCACCCTGGCTCGGTGGCCTCCCCCTCACTGTGCCCCTTGACCCTACCAGGCTCTAGTCCAGCCCTGTAGGGTGGGAACAAGCCACTCACTCTTTGGGATGTTGTAAGAACTTCAATGACCTTCACAGCTCCAAGCCTTGATGCCAATACCCTGCAGTGTTCCCTCCACCCTGCTCTGGGTTCTCTCTCTCCCGTAAGCCATTATCCCCCGTTACCCCACTCCTGGGGAAATGAGGTGCTCCGAAGGTCTGCGGTGGGGACAGAGGTTCCAACAACACATCCATCTGTGAGACTGGGCTTCAGCCGTGGCACTTTAAAATGGAAGGAGCCTCTAGTCCTTTCCTCTCCTTTTACAAATGAGGAAACTGAGGCCCAGAAGGGGCACTGCCTGGCTGGCTCAGTATCCCACAACAAATGTCCAGTGCTCCCCCCACGAAGCGCTGGTCACAGGTGGCCCCGCCCCCACTGCCACCCTGCGTTTCTGCACCCGCCCTTCCTTTCCCCCTCCTGGCCTCTGCTTTCTGGCTCCACTTAGGTCAAAGCACTGCAAGCCCAGGGGATGTGCTGCCGCCCCCAGGAGCCCCGCCTTGATCCCTAACATTCTTCCTGGACCTTGTTACCTCCTCGTCCCTGTTCCCTTTTCTTTCCTTCTTCCCATTCACTGTGCTAGCCTCGAGGGAGGCAGTCCCGTGCTGGTGGAGGGGAGCGACACTGGACAATGGTCCACGAATGAATGTATAAGCAGAGACTGAGGCACGTGCCACAAGAGCAGAGACTGAGCTCTGAGCACCTAGCGCTGGGGTGGACTGACACGTGGGTGAGTCTGAAGAATGAGTCGGTGCTCACAGGGCAAAGAGCTGGGGAGGCAGAGGGATCAGCATGAGCAAAGACCTGAGGCAGGAGGAATAAAAGAATGTTCAAGAACCTGGAGCCGCTACCGCATCTGCTGCTAGTGGGAGAGGGAGGCAAGATGAGGCTTGAGAGCCAGACGGTGCCAGGTTTGAGTCTTCTCCTGCCTGGCCGCGTGCCCCCCTTGCCGGGCTCCAGGCTGAGCCCACTGTCTCCTGGCGCGTCTCACGCCTGGACAGGCCGAGGAAAGGCACGGTGCTGAGCGGGAGCCCCGCTCATGTGCTCACCCTCCAAAGCCTCGGCTTCCTCATCTGCAGAGAGGGGTCAGCGTGCAGGCCTGGCACAGCTGGAGGACTGGGGACAAGGCACGAAGGGGCCACCCCGGGCTGGCACAGAGTAGTGCTCGCCACCCCTCCCCAACTCCACTACATTCTTCAAGGACCCTGCACAGCCTAGGGGCTCAGAGGGTCTTCAAATCAGCGACTCAAGTCCCCACCACGACTCCTTCGGTGGCCGGAGAGAAGCACTGCCTGCAGTGCCTGGCACGACGCCATGGAGGCCCCTGCACGCAGAGCTCCGCCCCGGCCCTCAGCACTCACTGACCACCAGGAAACCCGCCCACCCAAGGCAGAAGGGCTGCTGTCCCGGGGGCTCCCCCAAGGCCCCTGCAGGGTTTCTCAGCCCCCAAGGTGAGGCATCTTCGTTCTCAGGGCCCACAACCCAGAGGCCCAGTTCTGGAGGTTTATTACTCAGGCAAAGGCAGCCTCGTTACTGGCGGGATCTCACGGGGTAGCTGTGTAAATCACACGGCTCAATCAGAGGCCGCGTTTGGACTGTCACTGTTGTTATTAAATGTAAATTGTGGATTTATTAAATAAGGCTCCCTCGCTCCCTCACCCCGGAGACAAAGCCCGGGGCAGCGATAACTCACATGTCGGGAAGTGGCTTCCTTCCTCCCTGCCTCTCCCCAAGGGGGAGCAGCCGACTCGCCATGGAAACCCACTCGGCCACCCCCTCAGCCTGCACGCTTCCCCCGCTCAGGGACTGAATGAAGCGGGTGGACAGCAGCAGCCCCCCGATTCCCTGGGCCAGCCCAGGCTTCATCCAGCTTTGTTCAAAGCTCAAAGCCAGAGCTGGGTACACGCTCTTCCCGGGGCCTTGCCCAAACCCCAGCTGCCTTCAAGCCCCATTGCTAATGGGAGCCATGTCCCTTACGGCCTTCAGGACTGGCAGCACAGAGCATTCCAGGAGAGGAGCGGGCAGACCAGGTGTGCATCCTCACTGGGCCCACTCTAGCTACGCAGCTAGACCACGAGAAAGCCACTACGCTTTTCCTCCATAGCCCTATCGCTGCCAGTATCACATGCTATTATGTGCTTTTACAACACGTTTGCTACCTGTCTGCTATCCCATGGGAGTATAAGCTGAGCGTGGGCAGGGTCTGTCTTTGATCACTGCTGTGTCCCAAGCACCCACCGCAGGCTTGGCATGTGCTACCAGTACTGAGCATTGCTGCCAGCCTGGCCCAGCTCTATGTGCATTTACCTATTTCATCCCCAGTATTACTATGAGCAGCATTTTACGGTTGGGGAAACTGAGGCACCAAGAGGCATGAACCCCACCCAGGAGGCTAGCTCAGAGCCCGATTTCCTAACCAGCTAGCTACTCAGCTGCTCACAAATGTCCCGGATGAATGAATGAACGAACAGTGCTCCGTTCCTCATCGCTTAAATGGGGGAAATCACCCCTCTCTCTTTCACTCACTGCCCTTCCTGAGGACACAGTCTGGCCTGCAGGGGCCTGCAATGTCTCTTGCACCGGGCACCCTCCGCCCACCTGGGTGTCTCTGCAGTTCTGAGACACCCCCCTCTCCCAGTCACTTCCAGCTCTGACCTGCTGCTCCCTCTGCCTGGCCCACCCACTTCCTCTTCATGCCCCCTCCCAACTTGCTCCTCCTCCTCCTCCTCGGGCTCTCAACCTAGAAGTTGCCTTTTCCAGGGGGTCTTTTCAAGAGCCCCCCAAAACTGGCAGAAGCCTCCCAAGCCCTCCTCTCCCCTGTCTTCCTGTTTCCCTGGCTCTCTTCAAACTAGGGGCTCCCTGGGTGTCTGCCTGGCCCAGGCAGAGGCTGCAGTGTGCGCACAGGTTCAGGCACACACAAACCCCACCTGCTCTGTCTGAGGGCCTGGTGCTCTCTGCCATTCCTACTGGGCAGGAGTCCAGCCCAGGGAAGCCCTCCCTCCCTGCAGCATCCCTGCCAGGCCTCAATGTCACAGAGAACTAAGGAACAGCATGCCTGAGACCCAGGGTATTCCATCAATCTGACCAAATCTAACAATCTGGGGGCCGGCCCGGTGGCGCACTCAGTAGAGTGCGGCACTTGGGAGCGCAGCGGCGCTCCCACCGAGGGTTCAGATTCCATATAGAGACCGGTTCCCACTCACTGGTTGAGCGCGGTGCGGGCGCGACACCGAGGGTTGCGATCCCGTTACCGGTCACGAAAAAAGACAAAAAGGAAAAAAAAAAATCTAACAATCTGACCCCCAAAAAGAAAATCAGAGGCAGTTGGCTAAACAGAAATCTACCAAAATAAAGCAGGCAGCTACTGACACCACCAGCCCTACAGCCCCCACTAAACAAGCATTTTCCTAAGCAAGCACTGCTGGAAAGAGGGTCTTCCCAGTGCTGGAGCCCACTCCCAGGCCTGGTGTCTGTCTCCTTCCAGAGCTCTTCCCCTGATGAACAACATCCCCACATTCACCCTTTACAGCAGAGGCTGGGGCCTGGGGGACACCACAGGAAGGAGAGGCAGCACCCCACCCACACCAGCTTCCAGGCCAGGGTTTGGAAACTTCCACGGCTCCTTCCCTAAGCGATCTACACGCCAGCTTCTCCAGTCTCCCCAAGGGACAGCAGCTGAGACCCTATGTGTATACAGCATCCCAGAGATGGTGCCACGGCCCTAGAGGAGGCTCAGGGGCATCTGACCCAGCAGGAGGTCACGAGAGCCTCATCTAGGCTCTACAGCACCAGTTCGTCCCCATCACAGCTCTGACCTTGCCATGCTGTCACTGGGGGTCAGTCTCCCCCCCTGCAGGGGCTCATCCATAATCCACACTTAGCACTTGGCAGGCACCCCAAGGGGCCGAGCGAACGTACAGCTGAGTGGACAAATGACTGAACCCTCCAGGGGGGGTGCGTACTTCCACAGACGTCACAATCAAAAGACACTGAGGTGCTCGGTATGGGTGGAGAGAGCCCCGGGCTGGAGTTGGGCAGCCTGGGTTCAAGGCCAGCCCCAGTGCTTGCCAGCTGTGTGGGCTTGGGTGTGTCACGTCACTGGTCTGCACCCCTGGTTCCTCACCAGGTAAGTCCTGCAGGGCTGATGGGGGGTGGGCAATGGTGATAAAGGAGGAGGGACCTTGCAGGAACATAGGGAGTCACCCAGAGCAGGGCTGGGAGTTTACCCGCCTCCAGTCCACACTACCCACACCTCTCCAGGACCTAAGAGGAAATCCACCAGAGCCCCAAGGGTCAGGCGGCAGAACTCAGTCCTCTCGGGAGAGCATCTCTGCTTTGCCAACAGAAGCACCAAGATCTGGACAAAAGGGGGGGTGGGGCAGCCAGCCCCAAACTGAGTTCCAGCCTGCCATGGGGCTTATGGCAACTCCCTTCCCCTCTCTGGGACTCAGTCTCCCCATCTGTACAATGAGAAAGTCAAGTCAGATCAGGGGTCACCAACTCAACTATCAGGAGGGGACAGCTGGAACTCAGCCCCCCACACGTTGCCAGGAGCACATGTGGGCCTGGGGTTGCAAAGCCTTTTAGTTTTATAAAGAGAAGCTAGAAGTCTGAATTTTTATGTGCAATCACCTCATTTTTTAAATATTTGTAAAACATTCTCCCAGCCAAATAAAACAGGACCATGGGCCAGAATCGGCCCACAGGCCATCAATCTGCAACTTCTCACAGGTCTCTCCAACTCAGAGCCTCGGTGATCCCAGGATTCCAAAAATGTTTCAGTCAACAGCATTGAATGCTTGCTTACAGCTGCGCCCAGAAGCCAGGAGGCACCCCGAGTCTGTGAGCACCCCCCCCATGGCCACCATCGCCCACGCCACATGGGTCCCATAGAGAGCCACCCACTTACATCTGCACGTGCGGCGGCTGGAAGCGGCCCTGGTTGATGTTGTAGAAGGTGAAGGCCTGGGTGGGGTTGGAGCTGTACTCGTCCACCTCGACGATGAGCCGGCTGTGCTGGTGCCGCCGAGCAGCCATCACGTGGGACTGGGAGAACGCCATGCCCAGGCCGCAGGGAAGGAGGGCCAGGGCCTCCGCCTTCAGGACGCCGGCATCCCACCTAGAGCGCCACATGGACCTCCGCGGGCCACCCGGGCATCTCCCACTGCCGCCGCCACCGCCGCCCGGCCCCCCGCCAGACCTGGAAACAGACTGAGGAGACGGAGCAGAACCGTGCGACAGTTAATCTGTTTGGGATTTGCTTTATTTAATGTCAGATGAAGATTTAGAAAGAGGGAGAGGGCGGGGAGAAGGGAGAGGGGGAAAAACACAGTCGTACAGCTCAAAAACTCATTACAAATCTTTCCAACTCAGCAGTTTGATGAATATACTTTGGTAAAAAGAGAAGGGAAGGAGGGGACAAGAAAAAAAAAAGCCACAACGCTATGGACGGATGCATGCATGGTCCAACATGTTTAAATACTTCAGGCTTTTTTTTTTTCCTTTCAACAAAATCCTCGAGTCTACAAGGTAACAGGGAGCTGGAGCAAGACAATGGCTAGTATTTTGTAAACAAGTTAAGTTTTACTTTCCAAAATTGGGGAATAGGAAGGATTCCCCTCCAACCTACCCCCTCTCCACAGACCCCCCAACACAGCCACACAGCCCCACACCCGCGCCCTGCAAGCCTGAGCAGGTGGAGACAGCACAGGCGAAGATTCCTTCCTCAACATCAGTTTTGCCTTAAGATATCTTTTAGCAGCGCCCGGAGAAGGGATTTTCCCAGACCCAGATGGCCATACACCCCCGCAGCTCTGGGGGTGCTGGTGGCAGTGGGGAAAAGAGCGGGAGGGAAGGGGAATCTACTTTTTGGAAAATCTTCCCCAATGCCTCAGTATCCTCTCCCTTCTGAAGGTCTCAGGAATTCTGATGGCCCCGTCAACGCTTGAATCCACTGAGAATCGCAGCTTCTGAGACCGCAGAATTTTTTCTAAATTTCTTTCATTGGAAAGTCCAGTTTGCATTCATATTTACTGGACTAAAATGCCCCTTTGACTGACTGCAATTTGGCTATGAAGAAACGTGGCCGCACAGGCCCTGGGGAGACTGTCCCACCCCGACACACTTAACACTATGGCCCACACCTCCTTACAAACACCAGGGATTTTTCTCATTCCTTTTTATAATTTTTTTTTTTTAACTGTGTAAGTAGGAAATGCCCAGAAGATTTTTGGTCATTGTTGTTTTCAGTTTTGGGTCATTAAGGTCCTCTGACTATTCCATTTGCACTGTATTTAACCAAGGAGAAAATAATGTAATTTAAACTATTCCTGGACAGTCATATCCCAATCACGTTAAATGAAGAAAAATCCCCTTTGCTTTGCTCTTGGAAGAAGAATCAACACAGGCAGAAAACAAATTAGATTAGGAAAATGACAAAAATTAGAGACTGGAGAACATCTTAATTATGTGCAAAGGAGAAATGGGTTATTAATTTTTAAAAAATTTCAATCATCCCCATAAAAGATGGAATTAATAGCAACATCCTCCTCCTCCCCCACCCATCCCCCCAAAAACGCTTCCTGATTCACAACACATATCCCTCTTCTCCACTTGGGAAGGCAAGGAAAAAAACCCTGCTTTTTCCCCAGGACACACTGGTTCCCGTTCTTTGTCCCTGCTGATTGTTTCTAAGTGAATCGGTTTTCCCTGCAGATGCCAAGGCAGCAGGCCTCTGATGTGGGCGAATTGGGGTTTCCTGGCAGAGCCGGCCTGCACCCCTGCTGTCTGTTACTCCTGCCTGGTACCAAAAACCTGGGAGAGGCCTTGGGGCTCCAGATGCCAAGGTCCAGGGCTGCACCTGCTTTGAGCCAGGTGGATCTGGTCAGAGGGTTGAGCCCCAGCATTATGCTTACTTGCTGTGTGATGCTAGGCCAACTTCCTAACCTCTCTGAGCCTCAGCTTCCTCTTCTAGAAAATGGATTTGACAATAGTAATGCCACCTCCCAGGGTGGGTGTGCAGTTTAAATGAGGAAATACGTAGGAATCCTGAGTATGATGCCTGGCAGGCACCAAGTGCCCAGTTAATATTGGCTGTGACTACTAGAGTCATTATTCAGGCCCTGTGTATTGAGGGCCTGCTGTCTGCAAGTGCTTCCCAGCTACTGGGGCACCAGGGTACAGGGATGTCGCACGTGGGCCAAGGGGCCAGCTCCAGGAGCTGGGAGTGTCTAACAGTGGCTTGCAGGACTGGAATCCTTCTCAAATGCCAGCTGACCACATCACACCCTTGCTTGAAACCCTTGCTGTGGCTCCTCTGGTAAGGACCTTTGACCATGAGTCCCCACATGGCCTGGCCCTGCCCATACTCGGGCTCTCAAGCCAGCGTCCACGGATTCTCGCCCCTCAGGCCTTAGTGGGCACTGTGCTTTTGTTCAGAGCCACCCAATTCCAACATGTTATGACGGTTTTCTTCTTGAATGCTCACCACCTATGAGGCAGGTATTCCTGTATCTCCCATTTTGCCTCTGAGAAGTGAAGTCTCCTGCCCGGAATCGCAGGGAGAGCAGGCGGCAGAGCTGAGACCCAGCCTGGTCCCTGGTTCCACTCCTTCCGCCTGGACCTCTCACCCTCTTCTCCAGCTGGCGAAAGCCCGCTCACCCTTCACCTCTCAGCAAAGCCACTATTTCCTCAGAGATGCCTGATCAGGGCCCTCATTGCTGGAGAGAGCCTGCACGTCCCCTCAGAGCAGAGCCTAGGACTCCCCTATTCACCCCTGTAGGGCAGCTCCAGCCCCCACCAGCTCTGGGACCTGAGCAGGCAGCTTAGCCTCCCAGAGGCTCTGTTTGCTCGTCTATGAAGTGGACAGAAAAATAGTCCCTATTTCATAGAGTCATGAGTATTAAATTAGGTGACACATGCAAACTGCTCATCACAGAGCCCAGCACATAATGAGTGCTCAGTAAATATTAGCTAATCTTCTTATATTATTATCACCCCAGAGCCTACCACGAATACTTCATAAATATTGAATTAGTGAATGGATGAAGGGATGGATAGACTGTCGGACAAATGGATGGATGAAGCAAGGGATGGAGGCAGGGACGCACGGAAGGAAGGATGGGGGGATGGAGGCAGGGACGGAGGGAGGGCTTCAGGGAGGAATGCACAGTCTGAGTATGTGTCTGGCCAGACTCTTTCCCTGGTGCCCAGCGCAGGCCTGGCAGAGGGCAGGTGTCAAGAGAGTTCAGCTAAAGACTGAGCCTCACCTCCTCTCTCCCCCTCCTCCACCACTTAACCCTGCAAGGAGGCTGGCCAGGCTGAGCACAGACCTTGTGCCAGGAGGTCCCGGGGGCCTCCACCCATCCCCACCCCAGAGCAGCAGGCGCCAGCATGCCCTGGGGAAGCCTGCAGCGGGGGAGAGCCGCTCTGCACCAGGGGCCTCAGCGGGAAAAGGCAGGCGGCAAGGCGTCCCGAGGAGCTCTGCAGTGAAATGCTGCATTTCACATAAAGAGGGTTCGCAATGGGCCCTGCTCAGGGAAATCAGGGAAACTGGGTATGCGGAGCCTTCTTCTAATACCCATTTAATATTTATGGAGCCGCAGCAGCGCCTTAGCCACCATGCCGAGAACGCAAGCATTGTCTGCCCGCAGCCGATCCACGACCTCCGAAGGAGCAGCGCTTCCCTAACAAACGGCTTTCAGCTGGGAAGTGTTTACACCTGGTCCACAAAACAACGCAGCATGCAAGCAACATGCTGCAAGCAACGCAGCGGTGCCACTGCCGGGAGACCTCCTGGGCTTCCGTCCTGGCTCTTCGTCCAGCCGAGTGACCTTGAACAAGTCAAGCATCCTGGCGAGGAGCCTCGTCTGTGCAAAGGGGGGAAGGGGTGGAACTACAGAGGGTAGGGTGGAATCAATTAATTAATGCACTTATTCAGCAAATATTTGCCACATCCCTACTTGCCATCACTGTTCCAGGTGCCAGAAAGAGCAGTGAAAAAGCAGAGGCCTGCCCTCAGTATGGGGGGGTAGGAAATAAAATAAAGATCAGTAAACAGAACAGACACTTTCAGATAATAAAATGCACCTGGAAGACAGAACAGGGTGATGGGGTAATAAATAATCAGGGGGTACTTGAAGTTGGGTAATCAAGAAAGACCCTCTGAAGAGGTGACATCACCTCACACAGGAATGATGGAAGAAGCCAGCCATTCCCAGGCCTGGGGAACAGCATGTGCAAAGGCCTTGAGGCAGAGGAAGCACTGATAAATGGTCCTGCATTTATTCTTAATGTTTCTGGCCACCAGCATGCTTCTGCAATGGAAAGGAGTGTGGACTCTGAAGTCAGAGGAAGCTGAGTTCCAATTCAGTCTCAGGTGCTGCTTAGCTGTGGGGCGTTGGGCAAGCCACTTAACCTCTGAGTTTCTCTTCCTCAGTGGTCTCCTCTTGGGGTTACACAGAAGAAAGAACAAGCCTTGTGCCTGTCCCTCCATAAAGCCCCAGTGAGCCTAGATTGGGAGGCTCCAGGTCCACCTGGCCTGGCACACGTTCCAAAATGCCCTCTCTTTTTAAGGGCTTGCTTTTCAAAAGTCTTTTATTTTTTTCTCAAGATGGTTTCTCTTTCTGTTTTCCTCCCAAAGGCATTTATTTGTTGGTCCTTAGATGCCATGAGTGGAGTTAGGCTAGGGCTCAAATGGGAACCTAGGCGCCAAGAGACCGTGGAGCAAGTATCCATTAGGCACCAACTGTATGGAAAGCTGATGTCTAAGAAAGAAGTTCAACTCCAGACCCCGCCTCTCAGTGTGCCTCTCTGACCTCACCTCCCCCACCTGGTCTGGCCTTCTGCTGGTCTTGACCCTCCAACCCTACAGCCACATCACACCAGCCTTCAGAAGGAACATCCTAAAATCACTTCTGACCACACCATTTCCTCTGACACACCAAGCCTCCGCAGGAGCACCTGCTGCCCTCAGGTAAAGCCCAGCTTCTCAGGTCAGCTCCAGAGGCCATGCCCAGTCCCAGCCTCCCTCTCACTTCTCAGGCTGAGCTCAATCATGGGGTTTCCCTGGCACACTGGGAGTGCGGCCTCAGAGCCTCCACACACCCTGTTCCCTATGCCTGGAAGGAAGGCTCTGCACACCACCCCCTCCTGCATTCACACAGCTGTTTCCCGGCTCAGGCCCACTCAGCTGCCATACAGCTCCGGGCCCC